ATATCAATGATCAATAAGGCGGTTAAGTAAGATATTGGTCATTTCCTTTTAGATAACAGGAAGTAATGCTTAACTTAGTAATTACTAAACACTTATGTATAGTTCTATCTTAGAATAGGCAGATCAAACCCCTGTTTCAAGCCTCTTATATTCTTTCTCCTCCCACATTATCTTGATTAGTTGTAGTTTGTTTGCTGTTAGGTCTTGTCCCCCCATCTCTGATGGTAAGTTGTCCATCTCTGGGGCCTTTCAATAGCTATTACCATATCCAGTACATCTGGATAATCAACCTCTTGTGAGTCCTCAATGTGGTCATGTCTTCTTTTTCCATGAGTTTTCTATGATTGACAAGCTATTGGAAATTCTTTCCAGATGATCACTATTTTTTTCTTTTGAAGCCATAAAAATTCCTCGTATTTATATATTTGTTGCTATTTATATTGAATAACCTAACCTTCATTTCCTAGTGTCTGCTTAGAATATTTCTATCCTGCCAGATATCGGAAATGGTTTGCAATTTTTTGTTGAGACTTCTGTGAACCATTTCTTATTTTTTCGTTTCTCCTTTACACCTATTACTTATTTACTGTTTCTTTTAGCTCTGACCCTATTACCTTCAAATGTTGTTTTACCATAAGGCTTTTTAAGTCCACGGATTCAAATTTATTCTTCAGCTCAAGTTAGAATTTGATTATTACTAAAGTTTTTCAAATTATGGACTACGAACCTACTTTCCACTTTACCCCATTTTTGTGGATTCGCTTAAATAGTTTTGATTCCAATCTTGGGGTGATTGGAATTACATTCTGTATAGGTCATTTGTTACAACTGGTAAGATTCATGTGGCCCACTTCACATTTAGAAAATTTCTTAAAGTGATATTTTGAAGTGAAAATCTAAGAATATAGATATTATTACTTTAACAAATCCTATAATAAATAGAGCTAGTAGTAATAATTAAATTACATTTCTAAAACACTTCAAGGACATCATATGGGACATAATGTTAATTGTACTTAATTATAATTCCTATATTTTTTAAATATATACAGGGTGCTTACATATTATTCATAAATCTAAATTAATTTTAGATCATATGGAACATTTTATTTTACTTTTAATGTATTTGGTAAACAATTGGAATGCAAACTATGAAAATTGATTCCATATCTTCTGTTACTCGAAATACTCTATGACACAAGCCAATCAATCTAGATCAACAAAAACTCTAATGAAAAACGAGGAAATCTGATACAAATATACATGAAGACTGACAACTATTAGACCTTCAGTAATGTGAAATGTTAGAGGTAACATGGGATTATTATTAACTTTTTAAGTATTATTAGCACACTAATCCAAATTATATTAAAGAACATATGGAAAATTTAATATAAAAATATTATATAATTTAAAATAATGAGAGAAAAAAAAGAATAAAGATTTACAAATGTTTTCTTAAAGAAACTAAAAATGTGATAAGAAATATTTAAATAATTTTTAGATTCCATTTAGATTTTTTAAGTTTAATTTTTAAATAAATGTCAATAAAATTTGTTTCACTTGGTATACAGAAAACCATTAATTTTACCATTTAACCACTAATAAAAAAATAATTTCACAGCAAACCATAATTAAAGTCATTTTTAAAGTTGTTACAACTGATTCATGGATGACTCCACCTTTGGTGAAATATGATGGATTCACATAACAAGCTAATAATATTTACTTTTAGTTGTTATTAATAAATAAAAGTTGCTAATGAGCAGAAGTGTATAAAGAAATAAATCAATCTATTATTTACACAAGGTTAGTTGGTCATAAATGAAATCGGGATGATTGTGGTTGTGGTCAGAAAGTAATCACAAATAAATCAATAAAGCCTTAATGTTAGCTAACATTTCGATTAAGTTGTAGACCTTCATCAGGGCTAAAAAACAAGAATAATGGAACTGAAAAAGTAAATGTAATAGAATCATATCAAAACAAATTAAAAACGTATATGTAACATAATCTAATAAAAAAATGTTTATGCATATGTATGTTATGTTATTTATTCATATTCTTTCATATAATCCTCCTATATCTATTTTTCTCTTTCCTCAATGCCATAATTCTCCAGGAAGCTTAATAATTACATCTTCAGGCTGCTTTACTCATTTAATTTAATTTGACATTTCAGACTGTATATACATTATTAATAAAAAAAAATCTCATATTTATTTATTTTAAGCCATCTATTAAAGAAGCTTTTTATAAAATAAGGGTTTCATATATAGCAAGTTCATAAACCCAGTGCTGGGTTCATTGGTGGTATTGTTCAGTCCAGTTAAAGGACTGATCTAATGCTATCGATAAGTTAATGAACTTGCCCAAATTGAATCTATATACTGTACTGATATACATTAAAACTTGTAGAACTACAAGTTTCAAATACATTTTAAACAATAAACGATTTTTCATTTAAAAAGATACTAGGGAGTGAAATAAATTATAGGAATTTGGAACTCAATGCCATGTACAATGAAAGATAATTTCATATTTACTTACTAAACCCCAGATGAAAGAGATTTTTATAAAATACAAGCTACAGAGCTAAAAATTAGAAATGAGAGAACAATCTGAACTGTAACGGAAAAAAAATCATAGATGTACAAAACCCAATAGAATAACAAATTTTCTACTTAAAAACCATAACAGGTACCTCTTAATAAATGGGTCTTAACTCATTTTTTCTTGAAACTAAGCTAATTTAGCAAATCATTAATACACAATTATAGTTTTCAAAGAAACGCATCGTTTTTAGTAGGAAACTTTTACGAGCCAAAATCTTTGAGCATACAGTGTTGCCAGATGTCTGTCCTCAGACCTTTTCACCTGGTCTCAATAATCCTTAATTCTTAAATAAAATCGCCATTACTTATAGACCATGGTGTAGACCTCTTTTAACCAAATTATTAACATACGCTTAAAACTTCGTGAATAACTTCATCTCATCGTAACCTAAAAGGTTTTTATTTACCAAAATTATCAGAATTGGGGCGTTTCCAATCTGGAGAGCGGCAAACTTTGTCTTTTGAATTTAATAAATGGAGTTTGTACCACGGACTAATTTACTTTACTGACTAATTTACAAGAGAAATAAAATAAATAGTTTACTTAAGCCATAATGTTAATATAAAGGGCCCCTTACATTACTGAATATTATATCAGTTAAGATCTTGCTTCCCCTAGAGGAGATTTCCAGAGGTCAATTTTTTTTTTTTTTTTTGTATGGAAATGAATCATAATGAATTTCTTATTACTTTAATAGCCTTGGCTTTAACATTAAAAAAAAAAGTGTTCTTTGTAATATTTATTTTGTTCCTAGATATTAAAACTTGTCTTGTCTCAAATTAGTTCTGTCCTTGTTTCCTAATTATTTAACATTAAAAAAAAAAGTTTAGTAATAAAAGAAAATGTTATTAAATTTTGTATAAAAATCAAGTTTTGAACAAAAAAGTAACTTTGAAACAGTTAAATAGCATAAAAAAATTTAAGGAGAGTTCTTTTCCTTCCCCACAAAAGTATCCCCACCAAACCAAACATATTGCCTTTGTATCTTTTGAATAAAAAATTCGAGGGAGGAGAATTCTCCCAAAAAAATTTAAGTAAAAAAGTATCATCCATCTACTCAAACATATTGCCATTTTATCTTTTTAACAATAAATTCAGAGGGGGGTTACCCCCTTCTCCTCTCTCTCCCCTTCCCCCAAAAAATATATAATAAAACTAAAACAAAGTATCACTCCCCCCCCCTACTCAAACATATCGACACCAAGAGGGACACTGGAAATTTGGTATAGCTCACAGGCGGATCAGGTCTCTTAAAGTATCATTGTTCGTGTAATTAAATTTAATAGGACTTCAATAATCACTCAAACGCCAGTTCATATGGGTAGTTAATTCCGTTATTTTTTTTTCAAATTAATTATCATTATATATAAATGAAAAAAAAAAAAAGTTTTAGGGCTGAAGCCCCTCCACCCAAATTAAATCCTGGATCCGCTAGTGGTATAGCCCAGAGCTTCTCCCATAATTTGTGAAATGCTTAAACGCACCTTTCGACATTGTGGAAACGATTTATTGTACGCCATTAATACACACATAAAAAAAATTTAAACCAATATTTAAAAATATTCTTAGTCAAGTAGTCGACTTAAATTAATATTTAGATTTAAAGCAAAGAAAGATAACCTCGTTCAACTTTGGAACTTACTAAACAAATCGGAAATTACAGAAAGGAGGATATACGAGTATAAATTGTTGATTTAACGTATACAGAACAGTAGCGATAAAGATAATAATAATCCTTAACATTATAACATACTAATAAAATATATTTAATTTTTAATTGCGGATTATGTAACCATCCCTTCTCCTCCCCCCCCCCAAGAACATAGCTAAAAACAATTTATCCCCAAAAGAAATCGATAGTTTAATTAAATTTCTTTCAATTCAAATTGAGGGTATCCTTTTTTTGTTTGGTTTGTTTCTTTTAAAATGTTGAAATTGAATGAATAATCAACTATTCTTCTTCTTTTAAACTTGTTAATGTTTCTATGTTGAAAGGAGTAGTAACCATATTTATCGTATTTGTTATTGAAAAATGTTTAGATGATAATAAAGCGACCTGACATCGAGCATCTAATGAAATAATCATATTTTCTAGTGATAACTTGTATTAACATCAAGAGAAAACAGTCGAGAAATAGAGGAGAAATGACTAATTCCCTCACTTTCAATTTTCCATTGTAAAAAAAACTTGTTTTCTTTTTTTTTATTTAGAAAAAACCGTCTCATAACATTTTGCAACTGATTTCATAAATAGTAGTTTTAATATTTATCTATGATAAACGGGTTTTGATTAACGGGTTGATGATTTATCTCACAAAAATGCCTTATAATCGATCCATCAATATCGTCCATATTACTCTATCGATATATCACTAGACTAGAAGATTAGTTTGTAACCTCCCGACAAACTATATATTGCATAGTTTTCATGTAGAATGGCAGCCGATCCTAAATATGCCAATCTTTCGGGAATAGTATGTTCTAATTGTATTTTATTGCATTAAAATCGCATTCAGATCTATAATATTTTCTGTTAGGAATTTCTGATTTAATTTTATAATTGTTACGTAATTAACATTTAGCAATCATTTCTTTCTAGGCTTACGATCAACCTGATGTTTATGAAACTAGTGACTTACCAGAAGCTGACCAGTTTCACAGTGATTTCGGGTCTGGTCAATTTCAGGAAGAAGTAAATTAGTATTTAATATTGGTTTTCTTAAAAAAATAAATAATAGTGTAGCTATTATGTATTCATTATTGTTATTTGTTTTTGAAGGATTGTGATGCTATAGAACAAGGTCATATTTCGGCAAATGATGCTTTCTCTAGATTTAAGGGTAAATTTTTGAGCTCAGAAAATGTTGACTTCTCAGATAAACTTAGTAGAAAGCCACCAAAAGGTTATAATGCCAGGTAAAGTACTATTGATACTGTCTTAATTGGCATTTGTTTTTTTTCTTTTCTAAATAAAATTACTAAATGGATATACGATTTGGCAGATCTGGAGAGTGGGAATTGGTTGCTAGCGGGGAAAAAGAAACTCCAATCCAAAGATACCAAAGATTGAAGTGTGAAATGAAAGAATTGGTTGAAGAGATATCTGTGATTAAGGTAATTTTGCTTATTCTTCTATTAAATTTTATATGGGGAGTGGATTCAGTACTATTTGATGATTTTAAATCCATTATGTCTTGCTTAAACAATTTATGAGTTATTTGAAGTATAATGTTTATGACTGTTTTATTTTTTCTTACTTTTGTTTTATGATATTTATTGAAATTGACATTCCTAAATATAATATCATTCGTGACACATTCTTAGTATATTTTAAGCCAAATATTAAGATATGTTAATATTTTCCAATTTTAAGTTTTGGTACATTTCAAATGTGCTTGATTCAAAAATCATTATCTTTTATATGTTTATAGTCATAGGAGTATCAAAACCTTAGTAGATCAATAAGTATGATCACGAAAAAAGTTATGAACACAGGATTCATTCCATTTGTCCACATAACTAGGTTTTGAAATTGTTCTGAAAAAGAAGTGTTTTTTGCTTATTATCAGAGTATTTTCTTTAGTGTGTTCTTTAAAGATATAAATTATGTGCAATTGTTATTTTATTTGACACTTTCACATCTAACTAACCTAAGTTGGTTAGCGCGCTATACTAGTAAAGCAAAGATCATAGGATCGAATCCCAGCCCTACTTCCCAATACGGCTGGTCCCCGCGGAAAGTTAGACCATTATCCTCTTATTAATAGAGACCAACAGGTATAATACTTGTAAGAACAGGCTCTATAAAGCATCTAACTAAACCTCAGGGGTTCAAATTTTTCATAATATGAACATAAGTTGATCTGTGGATTTTACAGTTCCATAAATAGTTGCTAAGGATCCATGACTGCCTTGTGAAAGTAAATTTTAAAATACCTTCATATTAAACCTTGGAATTACTTTACCCTGATTTTAACTAGAAAGGCTCAGTTAGGAATTTTAAGAAGTCGTAAATTGTCATCTAAATAAAGGGAGGTTATACCTGTGGACAAGTCAATACTCAGCCTTTCTCAGAATTCTATTTATAGTTTGATCAGAAGATTTTGTTCCTTCTCATCAAAGTGGAGTAACTCTTGTACAGTAGGATCTTGATATTTTTGCGCTGTACTATTAAAGTGAAGATGATAGGATCGAATCCCGATCACTACTTTTCAGTACGGTTGGAAATATATGCATTAGTCACTCCGCCTCAAAGATTCAACAATTGTATTTAACTTTTTATTTTGATCGTTATTAAAATCTTAACATCATCTGCTGTTAGTTCAGCCATTAATTTTAAATAGCACTTGTCCTTTTGGGACTCCTTTTAATAATATTTGATTCAAGCATTGACTTAAGCCAATATTCTGATATTGTGTCAATGAATCTTTTATAATTTTCGTAAATTTTGCAATTTTAGGAAGAAGAATCAAAAGATGTAAACAAAGCTAACATGGTGGCACACGTTGATTCGATGCTTAGAGAATTAGAGTCACTTAAGCTGGAGAAGTACCTGGGGCCTTCGGTCGTCAATCAGTTAGCTGATCCTCAAGGAGCTCAGATAAAGTAATCCATCGCCCTCAAGTTTTCTCACTTTTAATATGTTATCGATAGTATGTTTGTTAAAAGGTTCAATAAGACATCTTATTTACTGTTCTGGTTATTATAATAGAGCAGTATCATGTGTAGTTAATTATTAATGATAAGTTATATATTTATAGTCATTCCTTGTATTTATTTTCTGCAGTTCACATGTCAGAAACATCAAATTTTCAAGTATTAAAATTATTTATGCTGAATCAAATTGTGTGATAAAAGTTGTCTATTACATCTGCACCTCTTTTGGTCATATTGTAAAATTCATTGATTTCTGTTTTTCCAGTAAGTTTATTTCTATACCTAAAGACATTGAAGAGATCAAATGGACAATTTTATTTCTCTTGGGGGAGTTTGAAAAATCTTTTTATGTCTATCAGCTTTATGTTATCCTGGTAGGCGAATCACGATGAACCAACAGAAACTATAGATATTAGTGATGGAGGAATTCGAGGTTAGTTTTTAATTAGATTTCCCAGTCTTCTTTTTTTTTTTTTTTTTTAAGTCTTCTTTGGAATTCATCAGTTACCTCTTAAGACGCAAACCAATTTTCAGGAGTTACGTTTCTATTGCTTTCTTTCAACGAATCAGTAAGCTGTAAAATATATTTTGGGCTATCTTTCTTCTTCTTCATCAATTCTTTGCAAATATAGGGTATCTCTTGAATGGAGTAAAAAGTTCTGGCATCGCAAAGAGATGAAACAATGAAATCATTAGTGTCATCCATTTCAAATAAATCTTCACCTGAATCACAATTTGACAGCATATCTCCCTAACCATCCCTTATTCCTTATAATTGATCTTGTTGCCGCCTAAATTTCTCCCATTTCATCTTTCATGGTGAAAACAACTTTTGAACTGCTGAACACAATTGTAGAAAATGTAAGTTCGAAACAATAATCTAAGTTAGGAACGAACATCATTATAATTGTTGGATCACATTCGACCCACTCAGCGGTCTAATGTCGAAGCTTACCTCATTTGATGTTAACTGGTAAAAGCTTTCATCAGGACCTACTAAAAGAGTACCTAGAGCCCTGTGACCTTACTGAAGGTAGAAGACTAGATATGTGCCTTCAACTGTTAGGCGGGTCAGACTCGCCCCAGACATATAGAAGACAGAAGAGCGTTAAGATAAAACAATGTAACATTTAATTTTAAAAGGTATAATGATTGCATCTTAACACTTATGAAAGGTAAGATCTATATATGAGTAAAAGATTTTAACTCTTGAACAATATTACCTAAAGATTCTAACATTTTACATTTTATATTGGATATTTCAGTGTTGAATGATGCAAAAATCCAATCTTTTAAAATTGTATAATTATGCCATGAGATTGAATACATAAAAATACCAAGATATTCATTGCATTAATGAATCAGCTGTGTCTGATCGTTCAAAGTTTGAGTTTTCTTGACTAACAAATTTTATTTTGGTATATTCAATCCCAAACAAGTTTTTATAGGTTACTGAATTATTTTATTGGCAGATGTTCATTACTTGAATTATTGAGTTTTATGATTCATGTTATCAAGTCTGCCATAAAGAATCATTGTGTCTTCACGAAGTACAGCTTGAAGGATTTTTGCTGGACTAGCGATGGGCACGTACAATTAATAATTGATAATTTAATTTCGTTTTTGCCAACTTTATTAGTTTGTGGCATTACCCGAAAGAAAATAAGTTATCATTATTATTATTATTATTTTATATTCATGTTTAATGTTTCATTGTCTATTAAAATTAAAATATACCTTGATTTACAGAAAGCTGATTTTGCAACTTGAAAGGCTGAGTGGATTAGGCATTCCCAGTCCGGAATCGACCAGTGCTGTCACTACTCCTGCTGCACCCACTGAAATACGTTACGAACTAAAGTCTAACCCATCGTTGGCCGCTCTCAACCACGCAGCTAGGGTTGCTGACCTCGAAGCTAGGGTTTCGAAGTTACAGTCACTTGTTTCTGCTTCTCCATCGGCCATTGTGAGTATTTAATTTTTCTGATTATTATACAGTTCATACTTAAATAAATTGAAGAAAAATTTATCTACAAGTTTTATATTCTAAGTATGTACAAAACTTTGTTTTCAATACTTTTATGAATTTTTATTTATCGGTAAATATTTTATTATAAAAAAAAATGCAAAAAGTCCAGATACTTATCTGGAGAAATTGGTTACATAAAAGAAAAGTGGAGGGGCATGGTGGTTCATCTTAATATCTGCTTCATCAAAAAGCAAATCTTTATTCTATTGTATCATTATTAAAAAAGCATTCAAGAATTATCTCTTCATCTTTTTATTTTTTTCAGTTTGTCTTCTATGAGTTAAAATATTTAGTTTAAAATACATTTTATTTACTTTTATAATTTCATAAAATAAGCCAGCTTTAAGAATTTTGAAGCAGCATCCTGGGAGTACCAGGAATGCACATCTCACTAGAATCTACTCCTCCGATTCTCACCATATTTCTCTAACTGACTGTTATCTTAAGTTATTAGCTAAATATGAACCTTTTATTTTTAGGATTTTAAAAATGTCTGTAAATGTTATAGATATTCTTTATCCTGTGAATTTTATTTGGATTCAAATTGCCATAATTTTTTTCTCACATTTGCGATAACCAACACAGCATAGGGACAATTGCCACAAGTATGTGTTTAAATTTCAAAAGTTAGCTGTTTGTAGCTTTTGATTTATTCCTATACACACAACAATCAAAGACAAAAAAGTATGGTCAATAAATAGGTTTATAACATGAATCTTTCTATCTTGTATGGAATAACAACGAATGCCAGATATTCTTAGTAAAGATAGATAGATTGAAGACTGTGCAAAGTCGCAGGCAACAGCTAGTTTTTACTTTCCTACCACTGCTAAAAACTAATTATTACTAGTATAATCGGATAAAATGTTTGGTGTTATGTTTTCAACATATTTTTATGTTTCACAGCCGTGTCCAAAAAAACTCATTTTCGACCATTGGTCTGTGTGACTGTGCCATGATTATCTCTTGAACAGGTGGACCAATTTTGTTGCTTCAGCTTTTGTTTGGTATGATTTCAGGCTCTGAATCATTCCAAATCTGTCATTCTTTTCCCGATAGCAAGACACTAAGTGAAAAATGTGTTTTTCTATAGATTATGGTGCCTATATTATGAAACTTGCCTATAGTCTCCATTTTTAAGTTATTTTGATTTTCATATATGTAATACATTCTCAAGAAAAGGCAAGAAAATTTTGCTATGGCATTTTTGTTTTATAGGTTTAAATCAAACTGTTGCTAATGATTTTATTAAGAATGTTCAAGTTGAATCATGAACGAAATCAATAGAATTGGTTTAAATTGATACTATGTTACAAAAATTGGCCCTTTCTTATTTTTTTAAAAATTACCATCTTTGATATGAGACCACTCATATGATGTTGAAAACCTGGAAAAGTTATGGAATTCCATAACAAGGTTTTATCAGAAATTATGAATAAGACAATTCTGTGTTACATATCTAGGTACTTGTTTAATAGTGGATAGCATCCAACTGCTATCTGCCAATGTTTATAACCTTAACAGTGATAACTATGATAAGCCATTGATAATATCTTTGTATTCATATTGGTACTTTTTGTCTAGCGGGCCGGCACGAAACCTCACTTCTTATCTATCGTATCTAACGTCACATCACATAACCTCCCTCTTCTTATCCCGCCAAACCTTTGAGTTATTGCATTGTTTAGTTTTCAGTTATTCCCTTATTACGTTCACTTATTAAATTCTTTACTTTTGGCCCGTTTGTGTTTATTTTTCATTATTTTTAGTTTTTGGCCCGTTTGTGTTTATTTTTCATTTTTTTTTAGTTTTTAGCCCCTTTGTGTTTATTTTTCATTTTTTTCCCCTTTATTTTCATCATATTATGGATCTTATTAGAACATGGGATTTGCCTTCTTCAGAAGAACAGGCAATTCAATATTTTTAATATGTTGGGATACTTGCAGACGTGAGTTTTTGTGGCGGCGGTTCACAGAGAAGAGGACCCGTTCCTCGCTATTTTAAATAGCATAAAACAATTTTGCCTTCCAAAATAAATAAGACAAAGTGAAAATAAATTGTACATGTGTTGTTTATAGTGTTGATATTTTTTCTTTTCTATGTAAATATGTTCTTTAAATATTTTTTTATTATTTCATTCATCTTTTATATCTACATATGTTCTTCAAGAGTTTTTTATTATTTCATTTTGATGTTTTATATGTACATATCTTCTTAAAGTGTTTTTTTATTATTTCATTAATATATGTGTCGTAAAATAAAAGTATTTTTTTTGTTATTACATTTGTTTTTGTATCTGTTTACACTTTCAATAATACGAAGATACGAAGTAGGAGAAGGCTTATTAATGGGTTATGGGCATTATCAGTGTTCAGGTTATAAACATTGGCAGATAGCAGTCGTTGGGCCGGCTAGCTAGACAAAAAGTATCTTCATATTTATTGTATTGTATTTATATTATTGAAACTGTGAATAAAAACACAAACAAATTAATAAAAAAAAAAACTTGTATTTTACAAGACATACATTAAATAGACCAAAACATTATACATATATAATTAAAAAACATTACGAAAACATTGTAACTTATATATAAAAATAAATGAAATAATAAAAATATTCAAACAATAGACAAAAATAAATGAAATAAAAAAAACCACTTAAACAGCATATGTACATATAAAAGAAACACTATGAAGACTGTAAAAAACGTATGTACATATAAAAGAAACAGACATATAAATAAGAGTAACTCACAGCTTACACAACAAACAAAAAATAAACAAGGGAATAAATTAGAGGAGATAAGGAAGGTTATGTGATATAAGATTAGATAACAAGGGAGATTTTGACGCTACCCGCTATTAAACAAGTACCTATCGGTACTTGTTTAATAGCGGATAGCGTCCGACTGCTATCTGCCTATGTTTATAACCTTAACACTGTTAACTCTGATAAGCCATTGATAATATCTTCGTATTCATATTTATTGTATTTTATTCATATTATTATATCTTCGTATTCATAATTATTGTATTGTATTGATATTATTGAAATTGTGGACAAAAACAAAAACAAATTAATAATAATAAAAAATACTTTTATTTTCCAAGATATGTATTAAATAGACCAAAAAATTATACATATATAATTAAAAAAAATTATGAAAACATTGCAACTTACAAAAATAAATGAAATAATAAAAAACCACTTAAACAACATATGTATATGTAAAAGAAACACTATAAAGAAGACTAAAGAACGTATGTACATATAAAAGAAACGGACATATAAATAAGAGTAACTCACAGCTTACACAAGGAACAAAAAATAAACTTATGTTAGGGGAGATAAGGGAGGTTATGTGATGTAAGATTAGATAACAGGGGAGGTTTTGATGCTACCCGCTATTAAACAAGTACCCATATCTATTATTAACACCAAAATTGGTTTTCTCTGTATGTTTTTTTCTTGAACAGAAAAGGCTTGGTGGTAGTGGAGATAAAAGTTTAGCCGAAACAGCTCATTGGATCGCTGGAAAAGTCGCTATGCTGGAACCGGGTCAGGTGGAAGTCGCAGAAACGAAGATAACTGCGTTGCTCGGGAAGTTAGACCAACTTGCTGAGAGGTCTTCGTCTGTTACTGGGTCCCCTGACCAAGACAATAAGGTAGATTGTTTATCTGCTTTTCGTTGTTTATTCATTGGACTTATACAATTAACTTTTACTTTATAGTTTGCTTTTTATTCCACTAATCTCTTAATACTGCAGCATGTGACTATATTTATTTTGTTTACCTTGTGGTATAATGTTTATTAATTATCCTGGGGCTGTTCCAATCCATCAGCCACCCTCAATATCATTAAGATAACAGAGTAGCCATATCTAAATTGCTCAAAAATGAATAGAGATGTTTCTATTTGATTTGTTTTAATTGAAATACGCTATTTTAATTTTTATTTGTTAGTGATTCTTTTATTTGTTGGTAAACATAAATAAAACGCTGCAAATTATTTCATAACTAGTCGGCCATAAAATTCTTTAAGTGATCAAATGGCAAATTGATAAGAAAATAAAATAATTCAACGTATCATAAGATAAAGAAATCAATTGTTACTTTATCAATAAATATAATCGACAAAGGAAACAAAAATTAATTTAAAACTTTGTTAATGTTTGGAAGCAACATATTTCCAAATTTCAATAAGCTGTATCTTTACTAAAAATTGTCCGATTACGATGATTTTTTTCCTTTTGTAGAGAATTTAGCAATCTTTCATTTGATTATGGAAATAAACATATAAGGAAAAGTGTGTAATTTTTTAGTTATTCGCAAATAAAGTTTCTTTTCTTTCATAACTTTTTTGCCTGAATTTTTGGGTTGATAGGACTATTTTGCCCGCCTGAAGGAGAAGGAAGCCTTCAAAATGGGTGGTTCAATCTTGAGATTTGGAGAAGAATTAACAATGATGTGGCATACCGACAAGAAAAAAACCTTCGATAAATAATATAAACTCCTCCTCTCTCGATCATAAAGGCCTCAAGTCGACGAACATATATTCAAGGACAGTACTACAATTAACATAAGGTTGTGTGCATGCGAACTCTTTGCCTTGCGTTATCTCGAAAATAGTACGGTTTTGGGCTTTAAAACACAGGACCCGATAGTCCCGAAGGAACTATCCGGGTCTTGCTGTACACATCAAAATCTTCAAAGCCCGATTTGTCCCGTATCGATCTAAAAACTTACCACCGTTCCAGTATTGGAGCCTAGCAAAATGTTTGTATCAACTTTATTTATTTTAGAAAGAAAAACAAACTGAGAATACGATTCGCTAACCCCCGTGAAATTTTGAATCCAACGGTACCCCATTCATGGTATTTGAGCCTGACAGGAGTTTATGTTTGGTACAAAACTGATTTCGAGCCTTACTGTAATAATATATGTGGGGATGGTTTGCTATTTCCAAATAACTTATATATCTAAAGTAACATTACCTTCCTAGTCATAATGAAAAAGAAATAAAAGGTGATTCCTGGTCTAAACATTTTTTTTTTTCAACATTGGTAATTTGCTAAAAAACATAGCATTACTTCGTACTCTATGGTATAGGCTCCTTTTCATGAAGTTATTAACATGCACCTAAAACTTCATGAGTAGTTTCATTTTGTCGTAGCATACAAATATTTTATCCACGAAAATTCTTGGAATTGGGGCATTCGGCATGATTTACAATGCCAACGTGATATCAGAATGACGTTGTGAAAATGTATGAACATCCAGCTGATTTTCACATTAATGGTTAATAAAGATGAGTACAATCAAATGATCATAGTGTCCTACAGAAATATTGGGGCATTTGGGGTGACCTACAACCCCAACATGTCGTCAGAACGACATTGTGAAAATTTCTAATCATCCATAGGCCACAAAGCACTGATGATAAGTGAGCTATTTTGAGATAAAATAATGTAGTGGCCTACAAAAATATTGGGGCCTTTGGCTTAACCTTCAAAAATAAGAAATAAATTATTTTTCCACTAAACATTTTGTTCGCCATGGCTGGAAGTGAGGTTTGGAAAGCTGAGCATGGTATTAATCCGTTCATTGGATGTCAGATAATAGTATCTTAATTTTCTCTCATTCTAAGATGGAGACCAAATTCTCTTATTTTTTTCCAATTTTTTTTTTTTTAGTTTATAACTTATAACTTTTAAATGGTGTATCTCAATAAAAACTTTATTCTATTATGAATTGAGCAACATTAAATTTTGCGTAAATTGAGTATTTCAAACATCGGATTCGGATAGGCAGAAGGATCAAAATATCCATTAATAACACATATGATCCACAAATTTCCTTTAAAAATTCTTTTACAGATATGGTCAGTCTTTTTTATCTTAAAAGCAGCTATTATGGAAATATATTGAATAAAAGTTGTAGATAATAGAATTTTGCATTTAATGATTGTGAGTTCGAATTGAAGTAAAATAGAGAAACTTTTAGTTTTTACATTTTCGTCAAATCTTTAAGTAATGTGAAATAGTCATGTGTCAGCCATTCTTAAAATGAGTAATAATTTCATTAATCGAATGTTGCTGTACCGATGTTCAGATTATTAGATGCTTTTTTTTCTTTACTTTACGTACGACGGAAATTAAATAATAGGAAAAAAAATAGGATTTCAATACTTTACATTGATCGAACTAAATAACAAAATATTTTATACATGTAATTAATAAGTGCATCATTCTACAACTTTCGTTCAATTTCATTCTCATCTTTATTGTATTGTTTTCTTGTATTTATGTTGTTATTTTGATTAGTCAATTTTTTTTTTGCTTATATACATTTGCGTTTTGTATTATTGTCTTGTTGCTTAATTTATTTTTATTTAAAGTGTGAATGAGCTACTCTATCACTATTGCTAATGTCCTTAACTGTGACAGAATGCAATATTATTCAATTTCAGAGAAATGTAAAAAAAAAAAATTATTAGATTTTATATATTGATTAAGTTAATTGTATTTTTTGGAATTACTGTAAAAAAATTTTCTAAGGAAACATTTATTGAAAATTGTAAATATTGTATCATTAAATTTATGTTTTAAATGTTTAATTGCACTCAAGTTTTTTTGACTAGTATTGTTTTGTTTTTTAAATTAGTAACCGGGGGAGGGATTGGTTCTAACCGTATACAATGTTAGATTGGCGAAAGCTATATTTTTTTCAAAAATTCCTTTACAACCTCCTTTTTTTTTCTTGAAATTCGGACTTTTCACTCAAAAATTTTCACAAAAAGCACTCCATAATTAAGAATTTAACAGCAAATTAATATTAAAAGGTTAAAAGAACAGCTGATGACTGATTTAACAAAAACAACTAAAAAAAAGAGTATCTAAAAAATTTAATGTGATATATATTAATAGAAGCAAGTACAAAAATTTAGAATTCTTTATTCAATACTAAGCAGGGTATATGTTTTATATTTTTGAATCAAGACTCAAATAACGTAAAATGTTGACAAACTATATATGTTAACGATGTTTTAATTCCCAGTCATTAATACAGTCGATAATTTAAACAATGTTCTTATAATTCATTATTGAATGAAGGAAACATAAAAAAATAATAATAATGAAAAGAAAGTATGAAGATGTAAGTTGTTTTATCAAATTCACTTTGTTTTAATAATTCTAAAAACCAATACTAAATTGTAGAAACTCAAAATGAAATAATATTCGATATCAATCATTAAAGAATATTTTTATAAATAGCAATGTTTAAATTTCTATTGGTCTTCAATTAATTTGTTGTTTGTGAAATTAGTATAAACATGGTATAAATCATTGCCAGGTTTCGGTGGTGGACTGGGGAATGAGTTAAGACTTACAGGAATAGAAAATTTGTTTATGGTTCTTTAATATCACAAGCTTTAGCATGAAACGCGTAACGGTACTAATTATCAAATAATGTGCATTTGGAGATATACATATAAGACTAATTGACAATTAATATTGCTTCTATTTATTTTCTTGAGTCTCAGTAATTTGTTATTGGTTATTAAAATCATTAAAATAAAGAGAATTTGATCATATGTTTTTGAATGCTTGGAAATGTTAATAAAACAAGTTCAACCTTGAACTGGTATTATGTCTATTGGACATAGCAATTTTATAATGTTTGAAGCAATTTTTACTGAAAGTGTAATTTCATTAATTTTGTCTCTTTAATATTTCCGTAACCATTGATTTTATAAAAGAAATGTATTTAACAATTTTTATTGAGATTTTGAAGTACCATAATTTTGTAAAAAATGATATTTGCGTCAAACCTCACAGTTGATGCAATATACACAAAAAAATGAAAAACAAAATCAGTAATCGTCCTTCTTTTCTTCCCCACTTTAACTTTCTTTTTTCTTCTTTTTTTTTTATTTGATGTTCTGGCTACTTAGTAAAAACGCCCCAATAATTTTGTAGGCCACTATGACCATTTGATTGCACTCATCTTTATTAACCATTGATGTTAAAATCAGCCAGATGTTCATATTTTCATAACATCGTTTTATTAAAGTGTAATTGAGAGGTCTTTAATATTTACTATCTTATTTTCATTGAAATATTCTGACAGTGATTAAATGCCAAAATTTTTTTAAGTAGTTTTTTGCTAAAGAAGTGAGTACCTATAATTTTGTTTATTGAAAATAATTGTCATTGGATGGGCAATAGTGCAGGTACCCATTAGAAGTTTGTGTATTTTTGTCAAGTTATTTATTTTTACTTTCACTTACCTATCTATATATGAAATATATAATAAGAAAAAGTATTGTGAATGTTAACATTTTCGAATCTGAATTTTTAACAGAAATATATGTTTTGAGGTCCCCTGTGTTGAAATAACCAAGTGTGTGGGTGCACGCGCGCGCGTGTGTTTTAACAGTCTAGCTCGAAAATGAAAATTCATACAAAAGTGAAATTGCATTTTCAAGGTCAAAATCGGCTAACCGGAAGTGGCACTTTTATCACATTGTAAACACAATTTTATGATTTTCTCGAAAACGGCTCTAACGATTTTGATTAAATTCATTGTATTAGTGTAAAATTAAGCAGTTTTAAATAAAATGTAGGTTTTATTCTGATTGATGTTCTCTAAGAGGGCTTAAATGGGTAATTTTCAATATTAGCTTCCCCTAAAGTACTTTTAATTTTTTTTAAATGAAACAATGGACCATTTCACATTAATCTCTAATATAAAAGATAATTAAATATAAAATATGAAAGATAATTGATAATTAACTAAAGGAGAAATAAGAGATTGTAACAGAGAATAGTTGTAAATAAGGAACCAAAGGAATATGAGCGCATCAGAAAAATTAGATCACGCTTTCATACGTAACATAAGCTTAATATCAGTGCTGGCCTTAGGGTGGGACAATCAGGGCGCAGGCCTGGAGGGGCACCCACCGATCTTCAGGGGCGCTCGTCACTTGTTATAAGTTAGAAAAAATAATTAATTTTAGCCTATAAACAAAGCAACTGTATGAGAGAAATATTAAATTAATTAGAATTCAAATATTACATAATATAAAATAGCTTAAGAAATAAATTGAATTTAGAGGGAAGGGGGAAGATAACTATATTGCCCAGGGGCGTCAAGTGCTTAATGCTGGCACTGCTTAACATAATAAGGACTCTGATAATATTATGTAAATATACATAAGCAGTTTTCATAAATGCTATCGTTGGTATTATTTAATAATTAATTGTATAGATTACAGTGATATAAATATTAAAATTTGGATATATAAGGATACTTATACAAATTAAAATACCCACAATGAAATATAAATCAATATATATAACGTTTATAATTTTTACTTTCACTTCCCCTTTTTCTCAAAATATTTATTTCTGCTAATAAGTAGGTGGTAAATGAAAGTTGTGTGATGTGCGCTCCGCATCAGATTTTGTTTATTGGAAATAATAGTCATTGGATGGACAGTAATACAGGTACCCATTGGAAGTTTAATTGTGTCTTTTTGTCATGTTGTAAAATTTTTCTTTTTTTATCATTATGTTGGGCAATAAAAGTTGATGAGTTACAGTTGTACTTTCTTTTAAAATCCAAACTTCATCTTAACTTGTATCTATTGCTACTTTTGCTTAATAAATAACTATTCAGTTCAGCTGTTGGATGAATTATCCATCTGTGTGTGTTTCTTATGCTTCATTCCCTATTGTTCAATGTACTACTATCTGTAAACATATAAAAATTGAAGATGAATATACCTTTATTTATTTATATATTGTTTTCTGTTAAATGTCTCTTACTTGCCAACAACCCATATGATTTGATTATTTCAATGATTATATTAAAATAGCATTCTAAGAATAAAATTAATGTTGTTATTATCTGTTCAACATCCATTATTAATTAAGTGCTTCCTGTGTTTTTTATTTTTATTAAGAAGATAAAATTGAAATACTGTTTTAATGATAATTAACCTCACAACCACCACATTTCATTTAAAATTCATTCACATTTCGGAATATTTAAAATTTTTGGCAAAAATATAAAAGTAAAGTGAATTGTAAAATATTAGGGATGGGGATAAATTGCAATAATAAAATTAAAGTTGGTAGATGAAGTATTAATATAAAAATCTTAGAGGGTATCTCCTATCCGCCTGACAGCAGACCAACCCCCATTTTTACAAATTATACAAGTGTTCATTTAATTATACTACTTCTTGTTCATATTGTATAACTTTAATTTATAGTTATTCTGTAGTTCAGTTTGTATAATTTTTAATTTTTTAATTAATTTTAAATAAACTGAATGAAATCACAATCCAGACAAATTTTTAATTTCTTTAAAAATCTATATTATTCGTCGCGCCTTATTGCCAATTTATATTATTAAACTAGCTTTACCCAGCCACGCGCTGCTGTGGCTTAACCTGGCAAAATGAAAAAGAAAGAAAATAGAAAGCACATATGAGTAGATTAGTAGCAAAGGACATCTGTCATTTTTAAAAGGTTGGGAAACAAATTTGTCTGTAAAATGGCTTCAATTTAAACTAATTCTAATGATTTTTTTTCTCATGATTCAAATTGAACATTCATAATCATCTGAGTGAATACGCCGTCATTCGTAATCATCGGAAACAGTCCGAGTTGAACTTATAAAACTAAATTAAAAAATTAATAAAAAAAACCTATAATAGTATTGACCTACATAAGGAGAATTATATAACTTCTTCAAATGATAATTTCAATTACTGTAGTAATTATAAAATTTTTGATTAATCAATAAAAAAAAATGCTTGCCGACCTTCGTTAGTGAGGAAGCAAAAGGAAACGACCTTTTCTGAAGAGAAAGCAGTAAATGCTTAAAACTCTATAACTATGCAACGAACCGTCTGATTTCGATGATTTTTTTTTATTTTGTCAGCAAATCAGGAATCTTTCAAATAAATATGGGTATTATCATTCAAAAATTGTGTACTTTTTTAGTTATCGGCAAATAGAATATTGAATTCATCGTAACATTTTTCAGCTTGTTTTCGGGAAAGTATGTCATACACATAAATTAAAAGGGTTTCAAGGGGAAGAATTTAGCCAAGTTTCATTAAAATCGGTAAAGCCGTTTTGGCGCTACAGTTTATAGCGACACATTTTTTTGCAGCTTCGAACAGAAAAACATTTACATTTTTATTTTTTTTTACATATATGAAATTATCGTAAGACAGAAGTACTATGCCAGAAACCTTCCCAGGAGTGTACGGAACAACTTCCCAAAGTTTCATGGCGATCGGTTGAATGGTTTAGTAATGCACTAAAGACAAACAGACAGACAGACATACATTCATTTTTATATATATGGATAATTATAATTATTCTTATTGCCAATTTTGTAACCATAATATATATTCAACTTGTCCAACTTCATATAAGCCCTACAATAATTGAAGATAAGCTTTTTATTTCTAATGTATCCATTGTTTGTTATATTTTGCTTCCTTTTCTATTTCATAATAATTATAACTATAACATAATATATTATATATAATATAATAATTAATATATTGTAGTCAAGGGAAAATGTCTAGATCGAAAAATAACTGCTGTCACCGAGGTAAAATCAAACTACCACCTCCAAATGAATAAATACTATTCATTTTCAGTAAAAATTTAGAAGTGTATTAGATAATAAACACATATTTAATTAAATGAACAGCTGTATAATTATTGCTAATAGGAGAGCTCCTGTAATCTCCTACACTCCTAATACTAAAATAAATAAAATATGACACACTAGAAACACTTTTTTTTTACATACCAACTTGACCGAAGTAGAAGAACGCAGCTTTTTATTCTAGGTCTGTTCTTTCACCTGATTCATTATGTATATAGGCCCTGGTTAAATATAATGAATAAATAATTCATATTTAAAAAAATTAGCCCTAATGTATACTTATAAAAAAAATATGTTTAATAATATTGAAATGAAACAATAATAGAAGACATACTCAAGTAGATAGTGTGTGGGAGGTAATTTGCTACAACTTGGCCAGTATAATGTCTTCATAACTAAGGCGCTGGTCACAAAAAACGTAAAGATCTGTTTGCTGAGAATAATTAAACAATTTTACTATTAAAATTAAACTATTTGTATAATTGTCTTGTTCATAATAATAATTGGTGTAAATTTGTAGATTTCAGAGCTTTACGAACTAGTGAAGACTACTGAAGAAATGTCCCTCATTATCCCAAGTGTCCTTGATCGTATGATTGCCTTAGAAGAACTACATAAACAAGGTACAAACTTATACTTATATGAAGTTGTATCACTTAATAAATTGAAACAAATCATTAAACAATTTTTTTTCTTTTACTTCTCTAGGTAATGATTTCTCGAAATCATTGAGCGAATTGGAATCAATGCAGAAAGTTTTAGCGAATAGTTGCGAAGCAAGCAAGGAATTGATCAAACGTCTTGAGGAAAACTTTGCAACCAATATGAAAACTCTTCAAGAGAATATAGACAGCTTTTCACAGAGAATGAAGGCATTGCAACAGAAATAGCATATTTATTAATCTTATTAATTTTATAAATAAAAAATAAAAAAATGATTTTTTAAGTTTTGGAAAACAGCCTTGACTTCCAAAAGTATTTTAATATTCACTAGGCAAAAAACAAACGCTGAGTAATTTTTTTACCTTGTTTTAAATAAAATTTCAATTCTATATCAAATTCAGGTTAGCAGCATTATCTATTTTAGAAAAAAATGAGTAAGTTTTCATTTATTATTTTAAAATGTATTATGGTTATATCAATGAGGATGCTCCTGTCTCGCTGTGACAAAAAACATTTTGAATTTGCATTTTCTTAATTTTTAAGGACTTTGCACTCATATTACAGATCATATAATATAAATTTATTTATGCTTGGTGTTAAAGATATATTTCTATTATTAATAATTTATTTATAAGTAAATTTAATGATATTTTAAGGGATTTTTTTCATCTCAACTTTTATTGTTTTTATTCAAACATTTTATTCAATCTGTGCTTGAACAACAAATGTATGATTTTTTTATTAATTAATAAATATTAATTTTTTTTAACTTATTTAATATTTATCTTGTTTCTTCTTGTTGTACGTATGAGTTGATTTGTAATATGTTATTTTATTTTTTTATTAAAAGTATTATATTGTGTAATTTATTTCTAATGGTTGTAAAGTGAAGTAATTTATAAAAATATCCTCTTGTATTTTAGATCAATTGGTTTAATTAAAGAAATTTTTTGGTTGCTGAATTATGTATGTGTTTGAAACCTGTTGCTATTAGATCTTTTCATTCCTTTAAATGAACCTCAGAAATGTTTGTTCTCTTCATCATACATATATCTTTCAACTCCTTCAGTTCCAAATAGTGATTTTATACTCATAGTACTGATTTTTTTTTCCCACAGACCTCTATGATATTCTCTATCTTAAGGCTGCTCTATTGATTAACAAAAGAGGAAGGCTGATAAAGACTTTTGTCACAAGACAAATCTCTTTAAGGAATTGAAATACAAATCCAATTAATGTGAAATAATAAAAGAAATTTTAATCTTAAATAAATACTATTGAAAAATCAAAATGTCTGTTTTGATGAAAGTACTGATCACATATTGTTAAAACATTATCTGTTCTTTTTCATTACACATATGTAGTTATAGAAATGATCGTACTACACTTAAATTTATTACTGAACTATCCATATTAATAAATCTAAAATCTGAAATACATTTTCAAGTTATATTTTATATTCAAAATATTACAAGCCCGCATGCAATTTACTTACCAGGGTATTTTTAACAGTTATTAGTATTTCTGATGTTTTTTTTCTCACTTGGATAACACAGTACAATATTGATGGCACACAAGCATTACTGTGATTGTATTCGATCACCATAGTCACTTCAACAGCTAGCTAAAAAGAAAGTTTAGAAGTTAACAAAATGTTTTTATTGTTAAGTTAATGAATATTTTGAATTGATAACAATGTGGCATTAGAATTATAAGACTTGATTCAACCAAAGCAGACCAACAACGTCTTCTGATATTTTTTGATCACAGATTGAACAAGAGAAGCAATTGGGTTGATTTAAATGTATATATATATATACTTCCATGTGCAAGGGTGCCCACCTCCAAGGTCGAAGGTGTATGAACCTCCTCCCAAGATATATTATTACTTTCCTCTTCTTAAAAACAGTGCAAGCTAAAGTAGAATTTAAAGAGTCATAGGTCATATACAATTACACTGGAGTGGACTGTTTCGTGCTTTCCTGGATTAAAACTTTTCATTTCAAAAATTCATAACCCTGTACAAATGTGTCCCCCTCAAAAATGTTGATGAACTTGCACTACGAAATCCACTTCTAGGCATCCCTGTGCATGTATGATATATGCAATACCAGATTCGAGGAAATGCTGTCAGGCAGAAACCCTCCCCCTACCCCAAAGAGAAAATTAATTTATTGACCCATTTGTTTCTATTAATAATCTGAAACAAATACAATATTTACTCACAAGGCATGTGAACTTGTCAAGAAAAAATATTAGAACAGTCGATTAACTTCCTTAAATAAAAATGTTATCCTTAAAAGCTTTATTAGTCTTGTGTAATTGATATTAAAAAAATATTCCTCCTTCCAAAAATTAAATCCTGATTTTGCTGCTGGTTGATGTTTTATCTATCCATAAGTGGAACTATTGGAGGGAGGAAAGAGGGGCTTTTGAGCTGAAATTGTGAAATATAACCATATCCCATAAAAAAAAAACAACATAATAATAAAATATATCTAAAAGTGTTATTGTTGGTATAATTACATTTAATAGTATTTCAAGAATCACTAAAACGCCGTTTCATATGGTAGTTTCTTTTTCTTTCATACAGAGTAATTATCGTTATAATTATATATATACATAAAAATATCGTTCAGTCTAAGAATCCCCCCCAAAAAAATTAAATCCTGGATCCGCTAGTGTATATATTGAATGTTATATGCATTATACTTCTATTTTTGATATACAACTACGAACTTTTTCATGTATTTAAAATTTAGCATGTAATAATAAAAAAAACCTAGCGAATTCGAAGGTTGGACGCCGACCCCACCAATCGGTTATTCATCGCCCTCCAGCAGTCACTGTCCAACCCGTCCTTTGAGATCGACCTTAATGCAATCTTCCCACCTTCGCTTTGGTCCACTGCAAATATTAACCTTCTAATATAATCATCTACATTATATTAACGAATATAGTGCACGCAATTCGGTGTTGTGAGACCCTATAAACTCTCCGGTTAACTCATCCTTCTTCGGTCCGAATATTCTACGCAATTCTTTATTTTCAAAAACCTTAAGACGTTGCTCATCCCTCATTGTAAGCGGCCACCTTCGCAGAAATGTATTCAGGATAAGTGCCTAATTCAATAGCTATGTAAGCAGCTAACAGCCTAAGTTTAGTTGTGATTCGCGTGATTGAATTACGTGTTCCTTCAGCAGTAGTTTCACTATTATAGTGGTCTCATAATTTAATGTAATTGCACTTCAATAAGCGACAAAGCAAACAATACAATTATTATATGATGTAGGCCTTAACGCATATATTATACCTGTTATACAAAGCCCATTTTTCAACAGTGAACCTGTCTTCTCATACTGGCAGGACAAGCTCCTAAATTCAGCGTTTCAGTTCATCGATGGCATCGTTTTCTGCAGTTTAGAGACGGATGCCATGCCATCCATGAAATCAGCAATAAGTTTAGGAACTAGCCCATATTAGCATCACCAATTATAAGAAAATAGTGGAATATTACGTAAACGGCCTTTGGATTTCCAAGATATTTGATTATTATTATCATTTTTAATCTTGTACAAAGAAATTTATTGCAACATTTTTTTTTTATATAGAATAAAATATAGAGAGTTTTGAAAATTACTGTGTATAAATATGAAGGTTAAAAAATATTAATAAATTTTACTATGATACATTGGTTTAAAGACATTTTTTTTTATACATATATAGAAAAATTTAGATATATAGAAGAATGATTTGCCCTTTTCAATATCCAGTACACGATAGTTTTCCAAATCTAGTTATTTGAAATTCTACATTTCCCTTATATAAAAATAATTTTAAATGTAATATTTTCAATAATTATTACCGTTTTAATGATAAATTTGGAATAATTCATTAAATTATGAATAATTAAATTGTGGCAACATTATGTTACAGTTTTGGAGGCAATTCCTGTTGTAAGCCTCCATTTTTTTTCTAGTCTTCTGCACTGCTCTGATTTCAGTTTTAGATTTTAAATTTAAATTTGAATAATGTTAGTTGTTTTATTATATTAAATATATTTAATATTACAATCTTTATGGTAAGAAAGTATTGTTTTTATAGGATTATTTGGTTAATAACTATTTCATTTTGTTTTAATGGATCAATTGATTTTTTTTTCATAATTCAATTTCTATATGTTCATAACTATTTTATGTATACTTTAACACATATCATCTTATATATATATATGTTTAGGTCTGAGTACTGAAATATCAGCGTTGTTTCTTGTTTTGTAAGTCGTAAAAAAAAAATAATAAATCAGGTAGATTTATATTCAACTTTTTTAAAAGCTGTTTTACTACTTTAATTGATCTGTTTGATGTTATATTTTATTTTATTATGCCTGTTTTATAGTCACTTCAGTCATACTTGTTCATGGAACGCTGAAAACAGTCTTTCAGATAAACTCGAATGCTTCGTCACTCCATGGACAAGTGTGGCCCAAGTGATTGTGAACCACGTGTAATCCCTGCACTTGTCATCTAAATAATTACCAAAAAAGTATTTAATTTTGATAAAATCTTATCCTCAAATTTCATGTATATTCCTAAGCTCAGTGCTGAGTTTAGGAACTTGCTCTTTGCCTCTTATGGAATCATCTTGAATATTTGCAAGAAATACTTCATAACTATACAAATTATTGCATAAGATAATTCTATTTATATATATTTTAGATTGGGAATGGTTATTTATTGATTTATACTGTTTAAAAACATATCAGACTGAAGATCTGAGTTTTTATTGAAGGTAAATTACTCAAAATGTGATACATTTTGAAATATAATGAGAAATTATCAGTGAATTATTGAAGTTATGTTTCAAGTACTTCATTTTTATGTTTTATTATATCTTTACTTTATTTTTGGTGGATTTTATCTTTTGAAATTGATTACAGATTATATGGCAATTAACTAATTGACTATTCTAGAGTTTTTTTTTTTTTTTAACAATTGAATTATCACTCTATGATAATAACACAATATGGCTCAATCTAGTCATTTTATCAAGTAATACTTATGATTTGATTTCATACTTGAATAATAATACTTCTATCCCTGCTTCCTTTGATTCTCCTTATAACTTATAGAATTTATAACTGATCAACTATAAATGAGATTAGAGAGAAGGAAATCTGGGTAAAGTAAGGAAGTGCCAGAGAATCGAATAGTCTAAATCAAGTTGAGTATTAGAACATTGGTGATCTTGATCCCACCAAAGTTTTTCATTCAAAATTAATTTGTTTAACATTTCGTTTGAATAAAAGATAACACTATGTAAGAAATTTTGTTCTTAATAATGTAAATTATTTTAAAAATTAAAATAGAAATCCAAACAGGCCTTAGAAACTAACTGAATTTATCTAACTCACTAAATTTTACCACAGCAGGATTGTTAAATTTGCACAAACAATTTATTCATTTAAACTGAATCAATTGAAAATTAAATTGATCACAATTATTCACTGTGGAAAGATTATAAACTAGAACATAAATAAAAAATATTCACAATTCCAATAATTTCCCTTTCTATATACTTCATTTATACTAAGCTAATGTTAAAAATGCATTACTTCTATCTTATTGTTTGAATATGTTCTGTAGGTTATGTTATTTCCTTCTAGAGGTGTGAGTTGGTGCCCTCATAAGTCAGCCGTTAGGCTGCGATCAGCCATTGATCCTCCAATCTGGGAGAACACTCAGACAATACTGTTTTCTGCATATGACGCATTGAAGTTCCTATAGAGACTAAATATTTCTATAATATCATGCCATGTAGTATGGATGCGATATCTATTGTATATTTCTAGAATACAATAATAATAAAATTGAATGCTTGATGGTTGACCATGGTATATTATTGAGTAAGAAGATGGTCTGGGATGGCAGTCATGAACAGACTAAAATAGTAACAAACTATTTTATTTAAAGCCATCGTTTCGACCCGACTTAGCAGGTCTCCTTCAGGGAGGTTGTATGCAGTAGGGAGTTTCAGTTGAAACTGTTTCACTCCGGTCTGTCTTCTTACTAAATAATAACAAAAACTAAATTAACAGTTCAAACATGGAAAATGCCTTTCATCTAGTTTAGGAAACTTAAATAAAATGCTCTGACCCTTTTTATAAATTTATTTATTACAAATATAGATTCAATTGTTGATTTTTGTTTATTGATATCATATAAGTAAAATATATATTAGTGTATACCAAGGCTTGATGAAACTTATGATGAAAAGGGATTTGTTTTTAAAAGTTCCATTTTAACAATTTTAAAGAACCTTTTTTCGAATAAAGATTTGAGGTTATTTTAAAGTTTAACTTTTCTTTATATACTTTTTGAAAAAAATTATGTAAAGTGAAACACAAGCAGTAATTGGGCTTAAATTACAAATACTTACCTTGAAGGAATTCCTTGATTCTCACATTAATAATATATTGCACATTTTTTTTAAGTTTATTTTTTGGCAAAATGAATTTCTTTAACAGAAGTTTTAAATAAATTTTTTTAAAAATAAAAGTACTATAAAACTTTTAATTGGAAACGTTCATTAGAAAAAAAATCTAGTTTTGAAATAATAGAAAATAATCAAAAGTAAAAATTCTAGCTATAACAAATAAAAATAAAAGCCAACTTTTATTTCAAGCCCTGGTTTACACTCTTCTCAAAAGATTGATATAAAAAAGGTTATAAAATTATTTTCATTTCTTTATGATATAATCTCTAAATATTGACATCACATCTTTATTAGCATAATACTATTTTCATTTTTCTCAAAACCTAGCAGTGCAGAGGTCTTAATTTATTTTTTCATATGTATAAATATGCACAAATCTTACTTGCTTAGTTATTACATTGTTTGGTGCAGTTCGGGTGTGTCGTTCAGTGAATTTGTTTATAATATTGAAAAGTGATGGTAATATTGAAATGAATTTTCTTAGTTACCGCCGTGGGCATTCGGTTTCTTTCATGTCGAAATCTGCTAGGTTTAAAGACCTTGGCGGATAGTGAACTTCAAGAAAGAAGCAACTGACATCTCAGAGAAATCATGGGTAAGATACATGTCACATTATTTTTTTTTTCTTCTCCTTCTTTTAATTGTTTCTTCTTCTATTGAAGAAGCTCATATTGAAAAATTTCTTACGTATCTCATTTGATTTGTCAAAATTTATATGTAGCCTATCTGATTTTATTTACATAAGAGCCAGCATCACCTCGCGAAATAAACCTCGCAAAAATAAAGTAAACTCTACTCTTGTCTTACCTCTCAAGCATTAAATACTTTTATCATGTTATTTTAACCTTTGCTTCCCCAATATCTTGTAAGTGCTGGCACCTATGTTTATATTAAAAGAAATTGAATATTTTTTTCTGACCATTATGTTTATCCTACAGATTTATTTATTAATATCTATTCTGATTCATATTTATTATTTTAATATACGCTTAATACTCCTTCTATCAATAAAAATATATATATTTTAAATTAGAAAAAAAATTATATTTCTTCATTTAAATTACTGTAACAAATATTCTTACTTATATAATGCTATTTCGTTCACAAATCTAATGTTAACTATGGGATGTCTAGAAATGCCCAGAAGTGGTATAAGTTGCGCCATAAAAATTTTTGAGTGGGACACTGTTCGATGGAAATGTACATTATTAAAAAATTTAAGGACATTAAAGAAAGAAGAATATAGTCTTGTTTCATCTAAATTATTAGAGCCATTTTGGTCTTAATGTCTACATAGAACAACATGTTTTTCCCCAATGGGTAGCAGCTGTTGCACAAAGAGTGTTCAATTTGGTTTACTTGCATTGAGGACCAAAACACTCTGCAACATAAAAAAAACAATGAATTCCAAGGAGGCAAGCTTAATTTTGCTGCCCCTTCTACCATCCCTCAAAAGTCAACATCTTTGTAACATTATTTATATTTCTAAATAAATCATCTCATAACTGTAAATAATTTTATTAACTGCATCAAGATAAAAAAGTAGAAACAAATATTTTTTATTTAAGTAAAAATAAAAATCTATTGTCTGGGATAAGTGCTTCCTTTGCCTCCCTAGTTCTGATGCTGGGTCATAATTATACAAAGTTAACAGAAAGATCAAAGGCCAAGATGCATTTTAGGGTTTCAGAAATGTAAAGATATTTTGAAAAATGGACATTGAAAATATGACCCAATTACAATACTTTCATTACCCAGTAATGTCGGAGAAGTAAAAATGCTTCACTTTTGTATCAGTTCACTGAACATAATCTCTATTTTTTTATAATTAAGATTTATAAATATTAGAAATTTTAATAAAAGATTGAAAAAATAATTTATTTGAGGATTCAAATTCTTTTTGTAGACTAGGATAGGATGAAGGATATTCTGCAGGTTACCAATCAGTTTAAATTAACTATCTTCTGCCCATGTTTTCTTCAAAGAAGTGCCTAAATTGATAATTAATTCTATTTATAGACTCTTTTAAACAAATTAGATTGGTTCATTTTCATTCATACTTAAAAATTTGTTTATTTTTAATTGTAAAATGAAGTTAAGAAGAAACTTTTTAACAAACAAGGAATCCCTTGAATACATTTTTAATTAATGTTTTGTATACATTATTGCATTGTAAATAGCTAAATTAAATGATTACAAATAAATAGATGATAGGGAAGAATAGATTTTTATCAATTTTTAACTAATAAATTATTTATTTTGTTTTTAGAGTGGCAGCTCATAGACATCAAGTAAATAACAGGTATTTATACTATTTATTATTATTTATCTATTATTCCTGCACCTTAGAGGTATAGGACTCTATGTCACATTATCCTAACTTTACAGGAGTGCAGTTTGGATAAATGTTTTTCCTGTGAATATAAATGTACTCATTGTTAATATGGTTTTAAAAACTTGTAAGTACCCTTATCAATGGTCGGCATTGTCATTTATACCTCTGGGTAAAACAAAAACATTTAAATAAATATGTGCAACAAAGCTTAGTTGGTAAAAAATGTACATGGTGTTCTTAACATCTGAGGTATAGATTTTAACAAATTGATGTATATATTTTTGCATAATATTCAAGTTAAAACTTCTTTAGGTGTGTTTTGCTCTTTTTATGTGAAGATTTAATTATATTGAGCTGTCAGATCTCCGATGTGTAACACTCAGGTAAAGTCAGCTAGAGTAGATTAATTGAAGTGTTTTTGTATATGGATTATAATATCTCGAAAAATAAAAATCGGACATGCGTAGCATTTCATCCTCTTTATAACAAGCTATTATTTATAATTTACATTTCCTATTCTTAATCTCGTCTTATTGATGATTTCACTAATATCGTGTGGTCTAAAGCACACACCTTAGCTTTTGTAAGCATTATTAATTTTTTAAGAAGACTATCTTATCATGTTTGATTATCAGTTGATCTTTTGTTGTTTATGGTATTTCAAGACTCGAATTATGCTATAAAGTAGTTGTGAGTGAAATTATTCTTATTTTACTTTTATAAAATAATTAATAATTAAGTATTATAAAAAATAAAATGAGAATTTATCTAATTTAGCATATATTTATTTTTAATATAGATGAAATTCCTGAAGGGGCATTTGTGGTTAGTATACACAAAATTAAATGAAAGGGGTTTATGAGTAACAAGAATCGAACAAGTTTTTCTGTTGAGGTTGCCACGCCACTGATTGCTTCCTGTAATGACACTTTGATGTCTTTCCATCAGGTTAGTAGTGCCATCTCTATGTCCCATTGGGCTTTTTGTACATAGTGAAGACTATATATGTGTTTGCTCTAAGCCCAAGAAGAAGAGCACCTTATTCTCCAAGCTGCATGTTAGTGAATGAGAGAGATTGGAGGGCAGTTAATCCATATTCGGGAGCATTGTGGGATTAACCTGGGTACAAAATACTGTGGATGTCTTATCGTTGGTGATACAGGGTCCCCATCGGTGAGAGGGGTTCAAAAAACGAGAAGTATTTACAAAAAAATTCATTAAATATTACGAAAATTAAGATGTAAATCCGATACTATATTTTTATTAAAATTAACTTTCTTCCCAGAGCTGTTATCTCATAGAATTAAACCTACGTAAATATCAATATGTTTGAAAGGTTAATATCATAATTAATGCTTGATGATTGATAAGTAAGTCTAAAGCATGTTTAGCTTTTTTTTATACTTTTGATTTTCTTTTACTGTATACGACAACTTCATCTAATATTATGACTACAGGATATTTGTAATGAAATCATTCATTCTAACATTTATAAATTTATTTTCTCCCATTTATGAATACAAAACAATACTGCTCATCACAACATTTACTAAGCGTAACTGTAATTAACAGGATTATTTACATAATCTCAACATTTTCATACATTATAAAAATTATTTACAGAAATAAATTGCTTTCATCAATAGATCTGACATATATATATATATATAAGTATTACATCCATCATTCATTCTATTAAGTCAAACACAGCAGATATATTTATATACATTTTACCACAGGCAATGAGCATACATTATTATTTTCAATAATTTTTGATAACCATTAGATAAAGTTAAAAACTATTTCTGACATAATAAATTAATCTTCTTCTTTTTTTAATTTTAAATAACCATAAAGTTTATTACTTGGTATATACACCATAGTATTTTTTAAAATTTCTTATTACTAATAAAAATGAAACACGTTGTATATTTACATAGTATATTACATATCGCTGAACGCAGAGGTTAGACATCATTGGGCTCATGAGTGATGCCTAATCCGCTTTATGCTTCAGCTTTTTTAACAGCTTTATAGGCCAAACTACTCAGACCCATGAGGGTCGCTTACTGCTAAGTTTTTAAGATAAATAAGTAAAGAAATATTATAAAAATATTCATACACTCATGTTTATTCATCAGAGTAATAATTTAGGTTGTAATTATTTACAAAATAATAGCGATGATCCTGTTTTCTAAGACTCATATATTTCTGTATTTACATATCTTTTTGGATAATTTTCTTTTCTATTGTAATCTTTTATATCTTTTTTATAATAACAAATAATACATTATTTACAATTTGATCTCGAGAGAGTTTCAATGCTACAACTGTACATCTGTTGATATAGGACCATTTCCGACAAGTGAAGGAACTTTGTCCGAGTTCATATTGTTGTTACTGACTTCTGTCGCTAGAGTTTGTGTCGATCTGCTTACAAGAAGTGGTTTCGGTCTGAATGATATGCCTTCACTTTTCAGTTCTATTTCAGAAGATTTGGAAGCTAAAGAAAAAAAATGAAATGATTAAAATTAAGTCATTAAAACAAAAATAAAATTAAAATTCAATATTAATACTTTATAATATTATTAAATATTATTATTCAATTACTATTAATAATAACATAATACTAATATTAATTTTCAAGAGATTCCTTTTTTTTGAAACTGCAAAGGAATATTAAGCTTTTACTTGATGTTTAAATATAAAACTGGAATTGATCCATAGATGGCTCTAGTTATTAATGTAGTTATATTGTTGAACATGTTTAGTTTTGAGCTTACAAACTGCGTTTTGCCAATAGCATTAGTTTCCTGCTACCATTTAAAGAAAACTACTGCCGAATTGCATAGATTAGTTGAATCTTATATTAAGCATGTTCTTCATAAATCACATTGCTTTGTATGGTTTAAAGAATGGAAGGTAGATATAATTTATTATCAGCTACTAAAACCTGATGGAACCATTATTACTGAGCTCTTTCAAAAGGAAATGATTTATTTGAATTGAGTATTGCAGGAAAAATGATCAGAAACTAAAAAAGTGTTGTCTTTTTTAGTTTCTGATCATTTTTCCTGCAATATTCAATTCAAATAAATAATTTCCTGTTGAAAGAGCTCAGTAATAATGGTTCCATCAGGTTTTAGTAGCTGATAATTATAATTTTGATAATGATAATTTTGCTACATAATAATGTAACATCACATGAGCAGATAAATGAGCCGAGCAAACGATTGAGTTGTTCAGTTGGGAAATATTAACGCATGTGACTTACTCACCAGATTTGGCTCCATCTAACTACTATTTGTTTGTAATGATGGGGCACACACTTGGTCAGTAACATTTCACTTGTTATAAAAATGTACGGAAATGGCTTGATGACTGGTTTGCCACAAAATTTTTTCTTGCATGGCATTCATAAATTGTCAAAGATGGAAAAAAATATATAAGTAGCGATGAAATATATTTTGAATAAAATATTTTTTATACAAAACTTCTGGTTTCATATTTACATACCTGGCAGTATGGTTTTGTAACTCAATGGCCAATAAAATGGCTGAAACTTAAGAGAAAAGTATAAAGAAGCGATTTATAGAAGCCCCTCTTATTTCATATCAGAATATTTGATAAAAATCTAGTTTATTTTTCAATAATCCTGTTTTAGTTTTGTAAGGGTTTGTATTAGTTTAAGACATGATTTATTTTTGTACAAAAGTTGAATATAATATTTTCAATACCTATTTTAAGTTTTTTAATACTCAGTAACTTTGACGGTGATTTATTAATGATAATTAATATTTATCTATACTAATATATAATGATAAAGATATTTTTTAACACATTAATTTCAGCAACTATCTGACCAGTTTGAAAACTTCTTTTATAGAGACTATAGAGACCTTTTATTGAAGGTTTTAGGCTTTATAAAATAACACTACGAATTGGAGTGGTAAAATAAAGGTCGATCAATCCGGGAAACTATAGACAACTACTCAGTTTATAAAGTTTTAGTTCTAGTAAAAATATTTATAGGACTCACAAGGTGCTTCCACGGTGTGTGTAATGGTTTGTGACAGACGATTGCTGTCTGTAACAGCTACCGCAGCAGCCATCACACTTGCGCTTGTTCCTGACTTGACTGTCCCACTGTAGCGGGAAGTAGGCATCATGCTTTGCCTGACGTTTCGTTCAGGTCGGATCAAGATTATGTACAACTAGAAAAAAGATAAAAAATAATTATTAAGTCGTGACTGGACAGCATTACTTTTGCAATGTTGTAGAGTTAAAGATAACAAACATAATGAGTTTCTTAACTTTTATGATTATGTAAATTTTTGCTTTGTCTTTCTTTAAATTCTATTTGATTGTTAATTATTACTAGAAAATAATTTACACACTCTTGATCAATGAGTTACCTTTGGGGAGAAGAGACAGCCAATGGTGACACTTGCTGAGAAACTTATTGCAACTGACATTGAAGTTATTCTGAGTGGCATGTGGTTACCGGTGACAAAATACAATGGCACAAATGCTAACCATATCACACAGGTCGTATACATTGTGAACACTGTAATAAAGGATAAAGGATTTTATTTACAATAAAGGAGATAAAAACACTTATAATGATACACCATACGAAATTATTAATTTATATTCAGTCAAGATGGTTAGATAAAGAAACATATTAAAGTGTTATTTTATTTATTTAGCTTTGGTTAAGATTGGTTGATAACTATAAGTAAAATTAAAAAAAGATTTGATAAGAACAAAGTAAATTAGATGGGTGTTAATTATTATGAGAAAGAGAGATAAGGATTCCAAAAAAAAAAATTAAAACAAAAATAAAATAGTGATGTTATAAAAACAAAATTATAGGACATGAATACTATTTAAGATAGCATTAGTTTTATTTCTCTGTTTAATTTTTTGCTACAATACCTTTGTGTTATTCTCATATGTGTTTAAAATAACTTTTACAAACATATGTAAGTATAATTACCTATATGTTTAGACTCATTAAAAGCTTCTGGAATGTTTCTTGTCAATATTGCATATATTGTGCAGACAACGATTAGAAGTATTGGATAACCAAAAGCTATCATATAAGAGGCGTCTATGTACGATGAACATACTAAAAGATTATCTTCTCTTGTAGGATAATGGTGGATAGCTTTCGGTGGTGAAACAATCATCCATATAATATTAATGACCACCTGGAAATTAGGAATTGGTTTCATAAAAGGCTGTAATTGCTAGATCAAAAATGTAATTTCAGTTTGTATATTTATTCATACATTTTTAATGATTAGACAATATTGATTGAACTGTTGGTTAAATATCTCTTTAAAATAGGAAAATTATTTATACTGGGCTATTACAAAAGTATTTTTGCAATCATGCATTGCTTTGTTTCCATTTTAATCCTTATTTAGCTGAGATAAGAAAAATGCATGTATTGTTTACTTTGGACTCATGCTTTATTTAATTATGTATACATAAACTGTCTCTGCTTTTCATTTTGTTTAATAAATGTCACTGAAAAAAATTAAAGAAAAATATTGCTTAGTGGAAAGATTCGTCTTCTAAGGAAAAAAAAAAGGCCAATTGGCAAGGCAGCAGCAGAAATGTTATGTGCTGTGGATAGTAAATAGTTGGCTTCAAATAAAATAGTTTTCCATTATTTTAGTCTCCTTATGACCACCACTCCGGACCGTCTATTTCCTCTAAAAAAAATGAATCCCTAAAAGCATTACTGTTCCTATAACCAGTTAATTTTTTTAAAGGCTTTCAAGAAACACCTGAATCTTATTTTACTTAGTTTTGTTCTTTTTCTTTCAGAAAAAAAAAATACCAAGCCTCCCAAAATTAAGTCCTGGATGCCCCACTACTGCTATCGATGTCATTACAGTAAATGCACAGTCTTGTGCAAAATTTTTATAAAAATGATAAATGTTTTAATTTAAAAGTTTTTTTATCTTCTTAATAGTAGAGTGATTTAAGCTTTCAGACAGGGTAGATGTAATATTTATTTAAATTAGCATTACTTTCAATTAAACATAAGCCAAGAGACAGATCTGTTGTATTGACTTTTTTTTAATACTCTGAATAATGCTACCATCCACTTCAGTCTTTATTGTTTATCATTAATGTCAAGAGCTGTTTAATAAACAGTAGAAACCTGAGTGTATCTGTAAAAATTGTTCTATTATTGGAATTATTGGTTATTTTTTTAAAAATTTAATTTAACATTCCATTTTTTATCATTTTTTTCTTTTCTGTTTAATGCGACTTTTATTTTAGAAAATAGCAAAATATCATATATTTGACTTACAAAATTATAATTTTGCATTTACAATGACTTACAATCAGGGAAATTCAAAAAGAAGTTAAATGTTTTATTTCCAGAATTTATTGTAATTAAAACATTTAGAAAACCAAGCAAACTGTTATAGTTGCATAGTTTTTCCAAAAAATGTCAAAATAAAGAATCAAAGTATTAAATTTGTTTAATTTTTGTACATTTCTTGATTACATTTATTTCCTCATGTCTAAATATATTCATTTATATCTAATAGAAACAAAATATTAGAGAAGCTTTACTGACATACATGGTAGACATTTTTTAAATTGGAGCATTCAACTCTGTGAATCTTAGTTCATTACATATATTCATGTTAATAATATACATTATGTTAAATATTTTAGGCCTGTAATTGCTACTTAAGATATATCCCAGATAATATTGATTTTATATGTCAATAGTTTGAATAGTATAACTTAATATTGAACATGATAATTGCATAAAAATTTATATTACCTGAACACTGACAAGACCACCACAAATTAATAGTTGTGATTTTGGATTAATAAAGCTTGGTCGTTTAGCTGTTCTCTTTCCGGCATTAAATATTCTTGATATCCTATTAGTTTTTGTTAAGAGTGCTGCATACACCACAGTGAAGCAGATACCAATGCCAAATCTATTCATAAAATGTTAGTAATCAGTTATTATTAATATTAGTATGCAAAACTTATTATCATGCAGTTGTTATGGATTTAGATTCATTTAAATCAATGTTGTAGTATTACCTTTGTATCCCACATACAACATTTGATGGTCTTAACACCAGTGCAAATGTTATTAAATAACATAACAATATTCCTGTGAGTAGAACATAACTCAGTTCTCTTCCTGCTGCCTTAACAACTGGCGTCTCATTGTGTTTTATAAAGGCCCCAACAACAAACATTGTGGCCATGATGCCTAAAATAGAAAGTTTTAAAATATTAATATCTTTGTACCAAATGAAAAAATATAAATAAATCAATAGTATTTGGCAAAAAATCATCTGTGCCAGAAGTCAAAGTTAGATAGTGAAGTAGAATTTATCTTATTTAATGTTCATGTATTGATTGAACAAATGAATCATGTTATAATGTAATGTGGTTATAAAGTATTTTATTTACCAAGAGAAGATATTGTCATTGCGCTGATGGCCAAAGCACTTTCAACTCTGAGAAAGGATTCTGGAATTTCATTACAATAGCTGTGATATTTGTCAGGAATGGTGCCCAACGGGCAGACCTGACACTGAGTCTCGTCCGTTGGATGCCTTATCTATGACAATAAGAACATATATAAAGGTTCTTCAATATTTGAATTATAGTATTTTTACTTATATTAATTAATATAATGAGATTATGGATTTTCTTTTTAGCTAATTGGGTAACAGTTCCAGACAAAATAAAAATAAATAATGGAGGCTTGGATATTATTGCATATCAATTCTTTCCTTTAACAATAAATCCAATTTAACTTTTTTCCCCTCTATATCTTTCACCACAAAGGGTCTTGTAGGATCAATGTTGATTGTTGATTACCGTATTCAAGCATGAATCTGGAATGTAAGAGTTGAAAAGCACTCAATTAAATAAATAAACAGACCTGATATTGAGTACAATTGAAGCAATGCCAACAGCAGCTCTCTCCTTCGACGTACTTCTTGGCCTGCCCTTGTTCGCAGGGGAGAGAACATACGGACTCAGGCCCTCTTTTCTCTGTCATTTTGAACTGCACCTCTGAAAAATAATAAATAGAAAACAATTTGTCATTACTTTTTTTTTTTTAGAGTTCTCACTCAATCTCCACTGGTTTTAGAACCAGTGATGCAGTTGAGAGAGTAGCAGAGCACATTTATCTATTGTCTATATGTTTTGATTATTATTTAATTGTCATTTTGTTTCTGTTGATTTTATATTTTCTGTTTATATAGTGTGAATACAGTCTTACCTCATCATAACCATTGTCCATGTGACAAAATGTTGTATTACTCAATAAATAAATTTAAAAAAAAACTTTTAGAAATGTTTTGAATATTCTATTAGCTTAAATTTATATTTTTTGTATTCTTGGTTCTATAACAAACTTCTGTATTTTCATTGTCCGGAGGACAGCTTTCATAGGGACTAGAAAATCTTCATTATCAGTTCTTTTCTGTTGTTTCAATACTTTTTTTTTTATTTATTCATATTTATGGACTGTATTAAATAACTGTATTATAATAACTGTATTAAATTAAAAATAGAACCAGCAAATGTGCACATAGTAATAATACAATCACATGAAAACCTTGTTGAGAAACTACCCGTTGGTAGCACTCTAATAATATATTTACATAGGTAGATCACGAGGCCATCTTCTTTTCAGACACCTTGGAGGGTTATCAGTTATCGAAGAGGAAGCAAGTTTGAAACATGAGGGTTCAGTTGGTTTTAAAGTTTTTTATGGAAGGATAATTATCTGAATTGGCTAATTGGGAAACATATGGTACATTAAGGTCGTAATGAATGATTTTATTTGTAACAAAGTAAGGAGCATTGGTTTCAATGCTTAGTTCTATTTATAAAGCACTATCTAACTCATTCCTTCCAGGTATCAGAGATCACTGTCACTCTTTAACTTTGTCCTATTATTTCATCTTTTCAAGAAAATTGATTAATTCTGTCATCCTTCATTAAATATTTTTGATCATAGTATTGCACATTGTTTGAAGCATAGGCTTGTTCAGGATCAGTGACATAACTAACCAAGTGCTGGAACATGTTCTTTCAACCAAAAATATGTTCTAAAAATAATAATAGCACCCATATCCATTGCTTTTCTCTGTGTTTCTATCTTGTTAATTTTTTAGGTACATATTTTTTTTCCTTTCTGCTCTACCTGCTGAGAGTTATGCCAATAATCAGGCTGCAATCTTGTTTGATTTTTTTTATCCATTTTCCTCAAGAATCTCATTTATGAAGCTTGTATTCTAGTTCTATGTTTCTTAGTTACTGAGCCCGATTTGGAGAAGAAGGTTTATTGGGAGGAAAGTGAATTTCTGGACCTTTAATTTTTCTCTTTAGAAATTTTTCTTTTATTCAGAAAATATCTTTCAAGTTGAGCTCACTTTCTTTTCAATAGTTCTATTTTTGTCCAAGAAGCTCTGGGATATTTAAAGCTTTTAACCTATTTTAAAGTTAAAAAAATATTCAAACATCCACTAATGAGCATTACCTTTGTTGTTGATTTGAAATTGGCCTGAACCTCTTAAGGTAATATAAATAAAAATATTAATATTTGGGATTTAATAGGTTACCTAAAACAAATTAATTTTTTCACTCAAGAGAATAATGAATTGTTTGTAATGATAATAATGAGATTCGTCTTGGGAACCCATAGGTGCTTCCATTTTCACAATTGGCAAGCCCAATTAAAGATTCTCTATCCTTTTTTCTAATCACAATATTTCTTAGGTGATCCAATCCTTTTGAAGCAAAATGCCTCCTTATGCTATCAATCTGTCCACTCCATGTTCATATGTCCACTTTTTGAACACAAGATCCCAACCCACAGAACTGTTTTATTCAAAAAATCCATCTCTGTGATACCTCATTTTGGAATTTTCTACTCGTCTCCATTCATAAAATCTTATCTCTATGTTCTTTTAATCACCAATTGATTTTCCATCCTCTAAACATACCTAAATCTATATGTTAAAACTATTTATATTTCTACATATATATGTTTAATTTTACTATTTTAATTTATTTACTTATAGTTTTTCTTTTTTTTTCTTAATTTTATAATTTATCATACAGAAGGCAGAAAATGGTTTTGGAATTGTACATCTGCATTATTATTATATAGGTTAGAATAAAATTGACTTTCAATCATTCATTACCTGACATGTTAAGCTTGAGCTCTCCTTCGATGTATTGGCCTACTTGTACCCATTGGTACTCTCCTTTTCTGACTTGTTTGAAGTGAACAATATTATATCTGGCTGGGCCATCACCGTTCGGGTCAAATTTGAATTTATCTCCGGATAAACCTGGATATAAAAAATGAAGGTTATTAAAAAAAATTATAATAATAGAAATTAAAGTTGTCTTAAAAAGTCAATTAAAATGAAGGAAAAATATCCCTCACTTATCAATAGACGAGGCATTTTATTCCACCATGACAATCCGAGACCCCATGTTACAAAAAAATTTTTGCAAAAATTGAAGGATTTCGCATTTGAAATTATTCCTCAACCACCATATTCTCCTGAATTAGCTCCTTTGGATTACCATTTTTTTCGCAGTCTCCAAAACCCATTAAGCAGCTAGAACATTTATTCAGTTGATGAAGTGAAAAACTAGGAGTTGACTTTCTTTAATTAAAAATCCAATATTTTTAGAAAGGGTGTACTAAATTTATTTTTAAGATGACTAACTGTTATAAAACAAGATGGTAAATACATTTTAGATTGAACATGTTTCATTAATTTTATTCATCCCTTTATATCATGCAATTTAATACAGACATTAGTTTTTGGATGACCTGATATAAAATAGGCAAGCCAAATAGAACTTTTGAAAATATTTAAAAAACAATTATGTATGTAAACAAGAATGATGTAAATCATACAATTTAATTCTGTAGAATTGAAAAGAAAATATTAACATTCAATTTGAGATATGTGGGGCATGGACAGAAATATAAATTGTATGAGATACAGAGCACTTAATATCATTGCCTGATAAAACTCTGTTTTCTACAGAATCATATTAACTTGAGTATCATGCTTATTAACTCTGACTTTATTCATTCATAAATAATAATTAGCTTTTTGACTTCCCCGACGTCTCATAGAATTATTCTGTCCCATCCTAAAATAAATTAGATTTCCGTATGTATTTATGTTCCTTTAATAGGTGTGCATTTAAAATTTACTTTTCCTAAGTTCTTAAAGTACAGGATTAATTTTAGTCTATGAAATAACTGAAGAATATTTAAATGCCAGCATAATAAAAAGAACAGCCTTTTTATTCCTTTTTCATGGCGATACAAAGAAGCAAAAAACGGTTTCTCCCTGAGTGTCGCTATAATTTTTTTTTCATATTAAATATTAATGTTAGAGTTTGAATATAATGCAGGAAGAGGTGATTAAAGAAACAAACTTTAAATAGTGTGAGCTGTTTATTGAAATCTACGTATTGAATCATTTTCCAGGTCTTTGTCAAAGCTAAAATAAACAAGATACAAAACAATATAGAATATTGTAAGAATTCAAAGTTTAGATTAATGATTTATAGAAATTAACATAACTATTGACTAATAGATATTAAAATAGTTATTGAGAGAGTACAATAAAAATATAGTAAGGACTTGAAAATGTAAAACAATAAAAATATAGTAAGGACTTGAAAATGTAAAACAATAATAATAAAGCAATTATAAACTAAAAAAAAAAATCTTCAAATGCAAGTAGAGTTTGTCTGTGTTTTAACCGTTTTAAGTAGACTTATAATTTTAAATTAAATTAATTTAAAGGAAGTTCTCTTTTTCAAAAAATGATGGATTATTTGAAAATTATTTTTTTTCATCCCTCAGTCAAACTGAACTATAGATACCCCACTTTTAGAAAACTATCTTCTGTAATAAGCTTTAAGCCCATATTAATTAAGTTGAAGTTTTGTTAGAGAATAACTTGTGATTCATCTATGGTAATGTAAACAAATTATATGATTTGATGTTCTGTGGAAACTTAATAAGAGATGATTAATTTAGGGTGGCCATCTTCAACAAGGTCAATGAATAAACCTTCTTCTAACCTTCCCAAGATATTTTGTTGCTCTTCTCCTCTTTAAACCATTGCAAGCATGATATGTTAAGCCTGTAGAACAAAGAATGACTGATACCATTAAACTCGAAGTTGGAAAAAAGTTACAGATTAGTGAAAAAATTATCTAGTATCAATTTTATCAAGGTACATTCCCTACTTTGGCTTATGGTATATTATTTCTAGAAGGTGTGTTTTTGTTGCTACACTATATCTTCATCAATTCTTCATCAGATCCAATGATTGAGCCCTCATTTTCAAGATCTCATTTAGGCCAGAGATATTGTCCATTCTCCCGAAATCTCAAGAAAAAATTATGAAGAAAAAGAAACTTTATTTGCGAATAACTCAAAAATTACCCAATTATTTGTGGATTGTACACATCATTATTTGCAAGATTACTGAATTCCCTCCAAACTAATAAAAAAAAAAAAAAAATCATCCAAATCGATTAGAAATTTGTAAATTTGAAAAATTTGTACCGACCGAAGAAGTAAAGAAGATTCAAATATTTTTAAAGAGAAACAAAGTTGAGATTTGTATTTCGAATTTCCGAGGTTTCCGAAAAACGCTCAAATACGAATTTTCATATCAACCCAAAAAATGTTTGTTGTATCAAATTGGAACCAAGGCTCTTCTCTTGTATTTCTTTTCGAAAATCACAAAAGGTGTACTCACTTTAACTATTTCCACCTATCCACACCAAATTAGCCGGAATTCAGGGCCACATAAAATCTCATTAATTTCAGAAAAAAAATTGTGAGGATAAAAAAACTTAATTTGCGAATAACTCAAAAAGTATACATTTTTTTTGTGAATTGTATACATGATTATTAAATTCTCTGCAAGACAAATATACATATATTTATTTATTGAAATCGGACCATTATTAGCTGAGATACATTGAAATTGTATTGTAAATCCTAGACATTTTGGTTTAGAACATGAATGAAGTTTTAAAATAATTTTCTTTTCCTTGATCGATTATAATCATCGAAAAAATAGGCAATAACCGATATACTTTACGAATTATTCGCATGGGTCAAATTAATGTGAATGTTAAGAATATAATGACTATGAAAAGAGGAAGAAAGTAAACATATTACAGTCGGAGTTATATTAGTTTTTAAACTTAATTTGATTCATAAGACGTGTTTTTATTCGATTATTCTATTTAGTTCTATAATAATTTAATAACAATCATATTTCCGATGGTGGACATCTTACGCGCAATATTTCATTTTTATAATATTAGGTTTTATTAAAGTAATAAAATACACTTGAGTTTTGTCTTATCCCGGTGCAGTGAGCATTTTATAATTGGTTTAATAAGTGCTAAAGTCATCTTTGAGCATTAAGGCTACGATGAACTTTTTTCAAGCGTGAAATTAATTCCTTAGCACCTCTTGCAATTTAATTTAACATTTTAATCTGATGAAAGAATATTTTTATGCTCTAGAGGTTTTAAAACTTTTATGGGATGTATAAAATTTTCAACTTATTTATTTTGATTGAAATTTGAAAATACATTTTTGTCTTTATTTGGAAAGCTTTTAATACATAATGGTTATTGTGAGCCATATTTTGTATTAAAACTATTCCAACTATTCCAAATTTTGTAGTTGGCTGAATTATGAAGTAGTTTTGCCTTTTTTGTCGTATTAAGTTAGAGGTTTAAAAATTTGTGAATTGAGTTGGTAAGAGGAACGTCCTCAAATAGACTACTTTCTTTTCATTTTTTCTTCCATCTCCTCCGTTTTGATAAATTCTGAATTAAATGAAAAAATAAAGCACAAGAAAAAAATTGATTAATTCAATCGATTTTTAAATTGATAAAAAAAATAATAAAATGAGAGAAAATATGACGTTTGTGATGGTGTTCTGCCCCTCACGTTTTTAAAATTTTATATTTAACAATTTGATGAAATATTTGAAGTTTTAAAAGCTAAATGTTCTTTCAATTTAACTACATTAAGCCTCTAAAGAACAGTAAAATTGTCGCTTCTTGATTTAAATGTGAGAAAAACCAATATGGTTGCTTGCCTACTGTACACATATTGGTCCATTATACCGTCAATAATTTTAAGTTTACCCACGCCAGGTGCACTCGTACAGCCCCGAACCATAAGTCCCCACCTCCATGCTTGACCGTGGGACACAGATTTTTAGCTGCTAACACTTGATTGGGTTTCCACCATACCCAAACTTCTTCATCAGATGAAAATAAGGTAAATTTACATTCGTTGCTGAAAAAAAAAACTCGTTCCCAAAAATAGTTAGCCTCATTCAGATTCTCTTTTGCAAACGATAAATGTTTACATTTATTTATAAACGTTAAATCTAGCAGTTCGCGTTATTTGCATTATTTTAACGTTTCGTACCGTATTTACCTAAATAAAAATAAGAAATATGTAATATTCCATTGATTTGTTAACATATCAAACTAATTTATTGTATAAACATATATATATATACATTTTTTCTCTCATGTATTATTATATTGTTTGTTTTATAATCATTATGTTAATCGCCACTCATAATTTTTATACATATGTAAAATAGTGATTTTAACTGTAAACCATGAAATATAGACAATTGAAATATCATATGGGGATACTTTATTGTATTCGTTACTCATCGCTTTGATTGTTTACTGAACAATGGATTGTTAAACAATTTCTAATTCTTTTTATTATTAAAGTTGAAGACGAATGTAGAAAAGGACCAGTGTCAAAATTTATCAATTATTTTTGGTTACTCGGCCGAAAATGTATTTAACTTTACAAGGCTACATTTAAAAAACAGTTCTTTCTATAGATTTTGTTATTAAACAGTAAATCATACAATTTCATTAACATTAAATTATTGATCTGAAATATTGCATTAATATGGTGATACGGAATATTGAAAGTAATTATTGTCTCTTGTTCAAATAAGGGGATACCTGACCGACATACGACAAGACTACAGAAAGACCTACAAGATACTTAAGGTGCGTTCAGACAAGCACCGTTGTATCATACCGTGACATGGACCCAGCACGCGACTGAGTGAGTGAACCTTCGTGACAAGATATGGTTGTGGCACATATTATTTTAAGTCATATCAGGACATCGATGCGTGTAGCGGTTCTCTTCGTTCTGCCTTTCAGTTGTTTTTAGTATTAAAGGATATTATTATCATATAAGAATTATTGTTAATTTATATATATATATATATATATA